ATTTGCACCTCATAAAATTATTTATTTCTGCACAATGGAGGCTTTGGTGAGTAGAAATTTTAAGAGCATTAAAACCTATTTTCTTTATTTCAATAGAGTATTTTGAGTGGTATCCTATTGCTACTGTTATCTGGGGCTCAATCACACGAGCCAGTACTTTCAGAGAAGCTGATTCGAGACATTAGCAACTACTCAGAAATTGCACTGAAAATAATTGACTACTCACTAACAGGCCCAGGGGCAAACCAGTCTTACAACAGGCTGGCTACTTTTGTTGATAGATACGGGCCTAGACTATCAGGGAGCAGTAATCTGGAGGACTCCATTGATCATATGCTCTACCTCCTTCAGCAAGACGGCCTCGATAATGTTCATGGCGAAGAGGTCAACGTGACTCACTGGGTCCGAGGAAAAGAGATAGCCCAATTGTTGGAGCCGAGATCAGCAGAACTGTCGATATTAGGTTTGGGATCTAGTGTAGGTACTCCTGAGGAGGGTATCACAGCTGATGCTGTCGTCATGAGATCCTTTGACGAGTTAGAAGAAAGAAAAGACGAAGTGAAGGACAGGATAGTCGTGTTCAACCCGACATATGTCAGTTATCCAGTGACTGTAGCTTACAGGGTCAACGGTGCTTCAAGAGCATCAAAATACGGAGCAGTAGCTACCCTGATACGCACAGTGGGGCCCTTCTCCATTTACTCCCCACACACTGGCATGCAGGTTTATAATTCTTCAGTTCCTGCAATACCGACTGCTTGTATCACCATTGAAGATGCAAACATGTTGGATAGACTTGAAAGAGCAGGAGAAAGACTCACCATCCATTTGTATATGGAGGCACAGACCTTGCCAATGGTTATCTCAAGGAACACTGTGGCTGAGATCAAGGGATCAGTATATCCGGATCAAGTGGTAGTGGTCAGTGGACACTTGGATAGTTGGGACGTCGGTCAAGGGGCTATGGACGATGGCGGAGGTGCTTTCATATCTTGGCAAGCCCTGAGTATTGTGAAAGGATTGGGATTGACTCCTAAACGTACCCTACGTCTTGTCATGTGGACGGATGAAGAAGCAGGTGGTATAGGATCCCAGCAGTACTACCAGCGACACAGAGAAGATGCCGACAAGTACAGCATCCTCTTTGAGTCAGATGAAGGCGTCTTCCTACCTTATGGTATCCTATTCTCAGGATCAGCTGAAGCTAAAGCAATATTGCAGCAAATAGGGCAGCTACTGGTCTCCATTAATGCTTCTGAAGTATATGATAATGGAGGAGGAACTGATGTGGACTGGTGGAGAGAAGAGAAGGTCCCTACAGCGAGTCTAGCTAATCATAATGAGCATTACTTCTGGTATCATCACTCCAATGGTGACACTATGGATGTACTTGACCCAGAAGAAATGAACCTCTGCTCTGCTGTGTGGGCAGTCTATGCTTATGTGTTAGCTGATCTTGATGATGTACTGCCAAGAGGATAATGTGGTTAATAGGAAAACTTAGTTTTTGTATTTTTATGTACGTGCATTTTGTATTTAACATTATTTTTGTACTGTTAGTTATAGAGATAAAGTCTTCAAAAAATACAGTTAACTATTAAAAATTAATTAATTTTTACTAAAAGTTAATTAACTTATCCACACCTACTTAATCATAAACTAAAAAAGTGTTTTCTAAACTAAAAAAGGGGTGTCAGCATTCAGTAAAAAAACAGCAGTTCATTTTAAGTTATTTTCATTCTCTTTGTCTTTTGATGAAAATGTCAGAAGTGGTTCCTCCAATGTCAAGGTACTTGTCTATTTTGTCTGTCGCAGCGTCTTCATCATACACATAAACTGAAAACTCAATCGACGGAATTATTCTGCACTGAAGCTTCCCAAACTCTTGCTGCAACTCCACACAATCAATCTGAGATTTCAATATCTGTAACAAAATAATACCATCAGAAATAGATGAATGAAACTTTCTTTAAAATTAGTTCATAAAGAATCCAATTTTGATCGGAATCAGCTCAAACTTTCTACACAGCATAAGAACATGTATATGTATCAGGGAATGTTATAAAAATTGAGACTTTTCTCCTTTTCATTTTTGGCAAAATTTGGCCTGAGACCATTATGTTTATTTCTACCCTTTTTTTATAATAAAATTTTTGAGGGCTCTGTTCCCTTTTCAAATGTACTATAGTATAGGGACTTTGGCCCAACTTTGGCCCAACTTTGGAGCAACTTTAAACCATTTGATAAAATACACTTACAAAATCAGGTATTGGAGTGAGAGGCGCTACCTTCCAACCTTCAAGGTCCATTTGGCTCTTAAACTTATTGAGTTCCATCAACAGCTCTCCATCACCTTTCCTTGTCGTAAATAAAAATGGGTGTGACTCAATAGTGCCGACTGTCTCAGACTGTGTATACTACAAATAAAAATAAAGATTATTATTAAAAATATAAAATACATTATTTTAAAAAAGCCCAACCTTATAGTGTGCACTTAAATGCTTTGTGAAGAGTATACTCATTGTCCAGGAGTTTTTATAGTCTCGGACATAAGAGCACTGACCAGCATACTTCATAGATGTATCCCTCCTACATTAATAATAATAAATAAATAAATAATTAATTAATTAATTAAACTAACGTTGATCCTCTATACAAGATACACAACAGACAGCTGTCGTTGATATCCAGCGAAGCATATGTCTCTCCTTTGGGGAAGCTCCCTCCTCCAACACAATCAAAAACAAAAACCTTCTTCTCCAAATTAATGGCTGCAGTGGCAAAGCACATCTTCCTGGCCGTAATCTCATCATTAAGATCAACACAATGCTCCAGCTTGACAGTGACAGGTTTAGACAGCTGCTCAGGTAGTGAAATATCGTAAATAGCACTGACAATAGTGTAGCCATCAGGTAGGACAAAGGGACCTGAGAATATAGTGCGGACATTAATGGAGGATTTCTCTTCAGTGGCAACTGGTATAATCATCTTATAGCCGCAGTCTGTGTTTTCAAGTGTGGACGTCATCCCTCCTTCTATTGAGTGCTGCTTCAACTCAATAGTATTACAGGTGCCTGCAAACAGAA